CCTGTGGCAGCGTATCGGCCCACTGTGCACACTCCCACAAGCTGACTACAGAACAACGTGTTAATGTACAGCACTCCTGTAGCATAGCATAGTCTTGATTTGATATCACAGAGATCACATACACTCCTTCTGGCCTGTCTGAGCTCTTTGATTGACAGTGGCTCTTCTAGGTGGTACCCCTGTCAACACTGAGGAATAGGGAAATTTTAGCTCTGAGCCCCTGTACACCATACAGAGAAAATAGTTACATGGCTGCTATTAAATTAAACAAAGTGTATGTACCGTATTTTTTTTTTAAGTAACTAACTTGGCAATGATTTTGTAAGTTTGCCCACTTACAAAGAAATGAAGGGTCTATAATTTTTATCATTGGTGTATTTTAAATGATAAAGACAGAATATCAACCAAAAATCTAGAAAAAAACACGATACTAATGTTAAAAATTGAGTTGCAGTTCAGTGAGTAAAATAAATATTTGATCCCCTACCAACCAACAATAATTCTGGCTCCCACAGATTGGCTATGTGCTCTTGTGGTACATAGATTAGTCCTGTCAATTTAAGAAGGTGCTCCTAAGGACAACTCATTATGTGTATAAAAGACATCTTTTCACATAATCTTTTTCTTCTATTCAAACCTCACCATCATTATGAGCAAGACCAAAGAGCAATTATTTGCAAATAGAAGAAGCACAAAATAACCATTAATATCTCTCGGTCTGGAGCTCCATGCAAGATTTCGCATCATAGGGTAAGAATAGTCATGAGAAAAGTGAGGGATGAGCCCAGAGCTACACGGGAGGAGCTTGTGAATGTTCTCAAGGCAGTTGGGACCACAGTCACCAAACAAACCACTGGTAACACAGTACGCCACTGTGGATTAAAATCTTGCAGCACCTGCAAGGTCCCTCTCAAGAAGGCACATGTACAGGCCAGTCTGAAGTTTGCCAATGAACATCTAAATGATTCAGAGAAGAATTGTGAGAAAGTGCTGTAGTCAGATGAGACCAAACTTAAGCTCTTTGGTATTAACTTGACTCGCCATGTTCAAAAGAAGAAAAATGCTGACTATGACCCAAAGAACACCATCTCTACAGTCAAGCACGTTGGTGGAAACATTATGTTCTTGGGCTGTTTCTCTGCTAAAGGTACATGCTGACTTTGCTGCACCGAGAGGCCAATGGACAGGGCCATGTATTGTAAAAATCTTGGATGAGAACCTTCTTCCCTCAGTCAGAACACTGAAGACAGGTCATGGATGGGTCTTCCAGCATGACAATGACCCAAAACATACCGCCAAGGCAACAAAGGAGTGGGTCAAGAAGAAGCACATTAAGGTCATGGAGTGGCCTAGCCAGTCTCCAAACCTTTATCCTATAGAAAATTTATGGAGTGAGCTGAAACTTTGAGTTGCCTAGCAAAAGGATTTAGAGAAGATCTGTAAAGAAGAGTGGACCAAAATCCCTCCTGAGATATGAGCAAACCTGGTAACCAACTACAAGATAACGTCTTTCCTCTGTGCTTGCCAGCAATGGTTTCTCCACCAAGTACTAAGTCATGTTTTGCTTGGGGATCAAATACTTATTTTACTCACTGAACTGCAATTCAATTTATAACATTGTATCATGTGTTTTTTTCTGGATTTTGGTTGATATGCTCTATACAGGAGCGGACTGACCATTTGGAAACTCGGGCACTGCCCGAGGGCCCTGGGTCAGTAGGGGGCCCCATGAGATGCCCCTGGTACCTTTTTCATAGGCTCTTTTGAGTTTGGGCAAGGACACATGGGCCCCATGATCCCCTATTGCCCGGGGGCCCCATGAGTTGTCAGTCCGCCTCTGGCTTTATCATTTAAAATACACCTATGATAAAAAATTATAGACCCTTCATTTCTTTGTAAGTTGGCTAATGTACAATATCTGCAGGGGATCAAATAATTATTTCCCCCCTGTATGTTGAAGGGCACATTATGAGTAAGTGCGTGGTTTACAGAAGCCTTAAAACAGAGCAGGATAAACAAAATGGATGGAAAGAGAATAAGCAGATCAGGAGAAAGAATGCGGGATAAGTGAATCAGGAAGGAGTGTGAGATCGGCAGGTCAGGAAGAAGAAGTGCAGGGTGAGCAGACCAGGAAGAAGTGCAGGGTAAGCAGACCAAAAAGAAGGAGTGCAGGGTGAGCAAACCAGGAAGAAGGAATGCAGGGTGAGCAGACCAGGAAGAAGGAGTGCATGGTGAGCAGACCAGGAAGAGGGAGTGCAGTAAACATGTGCAAAATGAAAAAATGTGTTTTGTGTTTCATTTTGTTTTGATCTGTTATTTGACTAATTTCATTTGATTTGTTAAATTTGTTTGCTTTATTTTCGGAATTTCGTTTCGTTCATTCGAATTCAACCAAATTTAATATTCCGAAAGGATTCGAAAATAATTCTAATAGATTTGAAAATAATTTCAACGTTACAATTTATAGTCCACAATCCAAATCCATTTCAGCAAAATTTTCAGTGCCTTTGTTGATCACTACTCACGTCACCATAACACAGCAGGTCAAGAAGGAGTGCAGGGTGAGCAGACCAGGAAGAAGGAATGCTGGGTGAGCAGACCAATAAGAAGGAGTGCAGGGTGAGCAGACCAGGAAGGAGTGTAGTGTGAGTAGATTAGGAAGAAGGCATGCAGGTTGAGCAGACCAGAAAGAAGGAGTGCAGGGTGAGCAGATCAAGAAGGAGTGCTGGGTGAGCAGACCAGGAAGGAGTGCAGAGTGAGCAGACCAGGAAGAAGGCGTGCAGGGTGAGCAGACCAGGAAGAAGGCGTGCAGACCAGGAAGAAGGCGTGCAGGGTGAGCAGACCAGGAAGAAGGCGTGCAGACCAGGAAGAAGGCGTGCAGGGTGAGCAGACCAGGAAGAAGGAGTGCAGGGTGAGAAGACCAGGAAGAAGGCGTGCAGGGTGAGCAGACCAGGAAGAAGGCGTGCAGGGTGAGCAGACCAAGAAGAAGGAGTGCAGGGTGAGCAGACCAGTAAGGAGTGCAGGGTGAGCAGACCAGGAAGGAGTGCAGGGTGAGCAGACCAAGAAGAAGGAGTGCAGGGTGAGCAGACCAGGAAGAAGGCGTGCAGGGTGAGCAGACCAAGAAGAAGGAGTGCAGGGTGAGCAGACCAGGAAGGAGTGCAGGGTGAGCAGACCAGGAAGGAGTGCAGGGTGAGCAGACCAAGAAGAAGGAGTGCAGGTGAGCAGACCAGGAAGAAGGCGTGCAGGGTGAGCAGACCAGAAGAAGGAGTGCAGAGTGAGCAGACCAGGAAGAAGGCGTGCAGGGTGAGCAGACCAAGAAGAAGGAGTGCAGAGTGAACAGACCAGGAAGAATGCGTGCAGGGTGAGCAGACCAGGAAGAAGGCGTGCAGGGTGAGCAGACCAGGAAGGAGTGCAGGGTGAGCAGACCAGGAAGGAGTGCAGGGTGAGCAGACCAGGAAGAAGGAGTGCATGGTGAGCAGGTCAAGAAGAAGGAGTGCAGGGTGAGCAGACCAGGAAAAGGAGTCCAGGGTGAGCAGACCAAGAAGAAGGAGTGCAAGGTGAGCAGACCAGGAACAAGGAGTATAGAGTGAGCAGACCAGGAAGAAGGCGTTCAGGATGAGCAGATCAAGAAGAAGGAATGCAGGGTGAGCAGACCAGGAAGAAAGAGTGCAGGGTGAGCAGACCAGGAAGAAGTGAGTGCAGGGTGAGCAGACCAGGAAAAGGAGTGCAGGGTGAGCAGACAAGTAAAAGGAGTGCAGTGTGAGCAGACCAGGAAGGACTGCATGGTAAGCAGGTCAGGAAGAAGGAGTGCAGGTTGAGCAGACCAGGAAGGAGTGCAGGTTGAGCAGACCAGGAAGGAGTGCAGAGTGAGCAGACCAGGAAGAAAGAGTGCAGGGTGAGCAGACCAGGAAAAGGAGTGCAGGGTGAGTAGACCAAGAAGAAGGAGTGCAAGGTGAGCAGACCAGGAACAAGGAGTATAGAGTAAGCAGATCAGGAAGAAAGAGTGCAAGTTGAGCAGACCAAGAATAAGGAGTATAGAGTGAGCTGACCAGGAAGAAGGAGTGCAGGGTGAGCAGACCAGGTTAGAAGGAGTGCAGGGTGAGCAGACCAGGAAGAAGTAGTATAGGGTGAGTGCAGGCTTAGCAGTTCTGGAAGAAGGAGTGCAGTTTAAGGATAAGGAGGGAGTGATGAGCAGATCAGGAAGAAAGTGGGAACAAATTAGGAAGGAGTGTAGGCTGATCAGGTCTAGAAGAAGGAATGCAGGTTGAAGAGACTGCGGATAAGAAGCGAGTGATGAGCAGATCACGGAGTAGGAGAGAAGTGTGAGATAATCTACGAGAAAGAGGGAATGATGAGTAGATCAGAAAGAAGTAGGTAATGAGGTAAGAACACAGAATGGGAAAAAGGAGGGAAGGATGATCAGGCTGAAGAGTAAAAGAGCTGGGTGAGCAGATCAAGAAGAAAGCATGCAAAGTGAGCAGATCAGGGAGACAGTCTGAGAGGAGGGAAGGATGGGCAGGACGGGGACAACCAGATCAGAGAGGAGAAAAGGATATGCATAGAAAGGAGAAGATGGTAAGGATGAGAAATTTATATAGAAAAAGGGAAAGAAAAACAGGTCAGGGAGAAAACAAAATACAATATAAGCAGATTGGGAAGTAGGAGGGAAACCTTTGACATGGTCAAAGAGAGTGGAAAGGTTACCAAAGATTATGCCGAGACCAGGAGCAGAGACATTTGGGTCATGCACAAACTTTTCTCCCTTTCTCATGTAGGAACTGACAGTTCCTACTCTCCTTTCCTAATTTGTGAAAGGGAGATGCACTAGCCATAATATACAGAACGAAAGAGGCAAAGTTTACTGTGGAACTTTCCAGGAACTGAACTTGGTGCTGGGCACCCTGTAAAATTGTGCCTTCCCGTGTTATGATTAAGCACTCTCTAGCGTAAACGCATTAATGCCTGTACCTGTCTTTATGGAGCTGTGAATATATTGTTATCAGGGGCTGACTGACCATTTGGAAACTCGGGCACTGCCTGAGGGCCAGGGTCAGTAGGGGGCCCCATGAGATGCCCCTGGTACCTTTTTCATAGGCTTTTTTGAGTTTGGGCAAGGACACAGGGGCCCCATGATCCCCTATTGCCCGGGGGCCCCATGAGTTGTCAGTCCGCCCCTGATTGTTATGATCGATTTTCTAAGTAAAGTTTGGATCTTAAGCAAGTTGGAGTATGGTCATACATCCTCTTTCACTAGTTCTTGGGCTGTGAACCAGCACCTACAGCTGGTAATAAGTTTGTTTGGGCTAATGTGAATGGACCAGCCTGGAGTGGTGGCATACTTTGAAGATTCTGGCTTTACTCTGAATTATTTACATGAGTGAAGTGTCCTATGAAATCATATTCTTATGTCTTCATCAGCTTGTCAGAGGAGGGTGGTTCTAGGGAAGGAGACAAGACTGGAGAGAAAAAAAGCAGAAGAAGGCAGGAACACCTGGGCCAGGGCAGAGAGCATGCTTTGTTTTGGTTACAGCCAATGGAAGTGCAGGTACTGCTGGGCAGATTGATATCGCCCCCTCAACAGTTCCTTCATGGTTCTGCTGTTGACATAATTCAGCTTAACCAGTGGCACTGGTGCAACAGATGGAGGCTTTGTTTCTCATAGGTAAGAAATGCCATTTATACATTGATGGCCAGTGGGAGGAAAAATGCCTCCTACGCTAATTACCAATGTTAGGCGTAGGTGGGAAAATGCTGCAATCCCCTGCAGACTTGGTGGTCAGTGAGCAGGCTACAGTATGTCCTCTACATTGGTCCTTTACGATTAATGTAAAGAACATTTTCCCCCACTTACTGCCAAAAATTTCCACTGACCATATGGCTTTGTTCGCACTATCAGGGCACCAGATATTGTCAACATTATTGTCATAAAATGCTGTGATGACTACATACTTTCAGCCTCACAATATACAAAGTTTTTTCAGCTCATGGGGCAACAATATATTCACCAGTGTAATGAGAATGACCATCACTGGGGCAGTAGTTAATCATTTGCAAACACAGGACAGCTGCCACCACATGTTTTAATAGCAACATGCATTGTTTCCAGCATCCATTGTTGCAATTCTGACCTTTAAAAATGTCTGTAATACTTCGCTGTCGCACCCAGAAAAGAATGTAACAGATTTCCAAGCATGTAGGCACTTTACAAAATAATCTAGAGTGGGTGACTGGGGACAAAGAGAAGGCAAATTTATTAAATACCTTCTTCAGCTCTGTGTATACAAAGGGGCATGGGGGAGCTCTTGTCCATAATGGGCATGGTATTGATACAGCACCAGATGATCCACATTGGCTCACAACTGATAGGATCCAGAAATATTTAGACAGAAAAAGGCGAATAAAGCACCTGGACTGGATGGCATGCACCCACAGGTCCTTAAATAATTGAGCCCTGTCATTTCAAAGCCATTGTTTCTCTTTAATGAACCACTGGATTGGTGTAAGGCCAATGTGGTGCCTACATTTAAAAAGGGATCAAAATCTTTACCAAGTAATTATAGACCTGTTAGTTTAACTATAGTTGGGAAGATACTGGAGAGTTTAATAAAAGGCCACATAGATTAGTTCTTGCTGGAAAAAAATATTTTAAGCAACAGACAGCATGGATTCATGAAAGACAGAAGTTGTCAAAGAAATCTGATTTCTTTTTATGAAGAGGTGAGCAAAACCTAACAGAGGGGTGGCAGTGGATGTGGTACACTTGGATTTTGCAAAAGCGTTTGACACAGTTCCCTACACATGGCTAATGTGTGAGGTAAAGTCTACCAGCTTGGAAAATCAGTATGTAAACGGATGGAAAACTTACTAAAGGATCGTATTCAGAAAGTAGTGGTTAATGATTCATACTCTGAATGGTTTAGGGTTGTCAGTGGTGTACCCCAAGGTTCAGTGTTGGGACCCTTACTTTTTAATATATTTTTAAATGTTATAGGGTCTGGGATTAAAAATACCATTTCAGTCTTTGCAGATGACACCAAGCTGTGCAGTGGAATAACGTCCTTGCAGGATATCTCCAACATACAAGCCAACCTCAATGCTCTGTTTAATTGGCAACTATGTGACAAATTAGGTTTAATGTTGATAAATGTAAGGTTATGCACTCTGGGGCTAAGCATATGCATGCATCATACATACTAGGGGGGGTACACAACTGGGGGAATCAATGGTGGAGAAGGATCTGGGGTTCTGGTAGATCACAAGCTTAATAATGGCATGCAATGCCAAGCTCCGGGTTCTAAAGCGAGCAAAATCCCCTCTTGTATTAAAAGAGGTATAGACTCCAGAGAGAGATATCATATTACCCCGGTACAAATCATTAGTAAGACCTCATCTGGAATATGCAGTTCAGTTTTGGGCACCAATTCACAAAAATAACATTGGGGAACAGGAGAAAATACAGAGAAGGGCAACCAAACTGATAAGAGGCATGGAGGAGCTCAGCTATGAGGAAAGATTAGAGGAACTGAATTTATTCTCTCTTGAGAAGAGGAGATTAAGGGTGGATATGATCAACATGTATAAATACATCAGTGGTTCATATAGTGAACTCTGTGTAGAGCTATTCACCCTGAGGTCATCACAGAGGACAAGGGGGCACTCTTTATGTCTGGAGGATAAGAGATTTAATCTCCAAATACGGAAATGTATCTTCACAGTAAGAGATGTGAGAATGTGGAATAGACGCCCTCAAGAGTTGGTTCTGGACAGCTCAGTGGATTGCTTTAAAAAAGTCCTGGATTCTTTCTTGGATACACAGAATATAACTGGATACTAACATTTATAGGTAAAGTTGATCCAGGGAATATCCAATTGCCTCTTGGGAGATCAGGAAGGAATTTTTTCCCCCGCAAGAGCAAATTGGATCATGTTTTGCTGGGTTTTTTGCCTCCCTCTGGATCAACTGTGAGTGTAGGATTATAAATTTTTGTTTTTTTTTTAATGGTTGAACTAGATGGACTTTTGTCTTTTTTCAGCCAGACTAACTATGACCCTGAAGAAGTCACGTGACCTGTTATGAAACATGTTGGGTTGATTCTAGTGAAGTCACTTCCAGTCATGCCCAAACCGGCACGAGTGATGTGAGGAACCATTTTGATTGATGGCTGTGATATGCTTTTGATTCATTACTTTTGTGAGTGCATTTTTTATTTGAATAAAGTGTTCATATTTTATGGGGTTGCACTATGATCTATTCCCTTTATTTTTGATTATATACATCTTACTTCTACTGTATATCCGAGAGCATGTTCCCTTAAAGGTGCCAATGAATAATGAAGTAGCTACTAAGGATCAGCAGTGGATAAGCAAAATTTGGTTTCATCCCTAAGCGTGTATGACCAATCTGTTAGGTCAGGGAAGAAGGTGAGTGCATGGTGCACCTACCCGGTAATGGGAAACACCACAATATAGTTGGCACGGTGGAGTAATGCATATATGTTCACCATGTTTCGGTGTCACATATAATTTGTTTAATGTGAGTGGATACTGTAACACGTTTAATTTTTGGTTATATAAAACGGTATTGCACTATGGTTTATCTTTGTTTTAATTTGCACAGATCTGGAGTTTAAAGAAGCACAATATGTGGAAGGAACACGTCACGGATCAGTAATCTGGAGACACGTTTTCCTTATAAAGTGTGTTTTTGGCCTATTATAATCTATAGGTCAATGGTCAAGGTGAGCAGGGAGTGGGGCCAAAAGTCAAGCACGGTGTTGAATATTGCTGGATGATAACACAGCATACACTGGATTGGACACTTATTATCTGAAAAAAAAATTTCTTGTACTGTCACTTTATGTTTCTAAAGCTTATGGTTCTATTTATGCTGAGATAGCGTACCACATTTTTTCCTTTTCTTTTCTTTTCTTTTAAGCGTGAGTACACCAGAGTAGTGAGTGCAGCAATCTTCTTCCCTGATATCATTACTATAGTTGGAACATAGCAGTGCATAGGTCTTTACCATTTGAATTACTTAATCATGCAACACTGTACCCAAATTGATTTTATATATATATTTTTGAGACAGACAGTTTTTTGATGGTATTTAATTACCACTGTTTTTTTATGTTTTGCTGTATAAAAATGACCATTTCTTTTTAGAATTTTTTTTTAAGTTTCTGATATAAAATTTTTCATATACAGGGGTTAGACCAAAAAAATAGAAACATTTGAAATCATGAAAACTACATGATTTTCAGATGTGAAAGTGATGACATGTTTAGCATTGAAGGCCGAAGTGATGTATGTAACATTCTTTTGTTTCCGCTGTGTGATGAGACACCTTGCTAACAGTTGGGAAACCTCACTTTCATCATTCACTGTGTGCCCTGCTAGTAATACAGAGTCATATCAAAGCTTACTGAGCTTCAAAGGGGGCAAATTGTTTGTGCCCACTTAGCTGATGCCTCTGTGACTGAAGTTGCCAATTTATTTTCCGTGTGGAGAGACACAGTATCAAAGGTTATGACGGCATATACAGTTCCCAGGAAACCATTGTCTAATAAGCCCAAGTGTGGTCGACATGGTCAACTGACCGAAAGAGACAATGTATATTTTTTAGTCTGTGTGAAAGCTATAGGATATACAAACTATGGCATATATACTGTATTGAAAATTGATCAGTCCTGGTGGGCTGACTACCTACCTCATTTTGTAAGACCCAAACAAGTAAGTTCGGTACAAATAACCCCAAAAATGACCCCTTTTTGAATGTAGACAGTCCAAGGTATTTAGTAAGAGGCATGGTGAGTTTTTTGAAGTTGTAATTTTTTGCCAAAATTATCTGGAAAATTATGAATGCAAATACAATTTTTCACACAGCAGTAATTTTAACAAGTTAAATGTCACACACAGTATGAGCATACTTATAATTACACACATTCTGCTACTGCTCCCAAATATGATGATACCATGTGTGAGACTACAGTATTTCACAGTCTAGCCATACAGAGGGGCAAAAATCCAAAGAGCACCTTAAAGCTTTCTAGAGCCATAAATTACACATTTCATTTTCTATCACAATTTTGGAGGCCCTGGAGCACCAGGACAGTGGAAATCCCCACAAAATGACCACATTTCAGAAAGAAAACACCCCAACATATATTTTCTAAGAGGCATAGTGAGTATTTTGGAA